GGTTGGATTGACTCCTGTTCCGCTGCTGCGCTCCATTTCCACGGCCACCCGTCGGAGTCTGCGATCGGCTCTGCCCCTTTCGGCCTCGGCCGTCGGGTTTCTCAGATCTCCCTCTGGGATTCTTGTTCTGAGCTGGGGCAGCATTTGACTTGGTTCCCGCAGCCGGCTGGGCCGGTGCGGCAGCTTTGGGCTTCTTATGATTAAATGGGCATCCCTCACCTGCATTCGGGCAAATCTGGCACTTACGTGCAAACTTGCACGTCGTCTCGCCCTTAGTCAATTCGCTCTTCATAACATCCGAGGGTTTCCCGCGACGGGCTGCCACTTCTGCCAGGGCGGCTTTGCCGTTGGCATATCGACGATTGTCATTGCCATTGCCTCCACTTCCGCCTATTCGTGCCTGTCGAGCACGTTGATTCAGAGCGCCCTCATGCATGCTGGTGTTCCATTCTTCCTTGTCGCGCAACTTCATTCCTTCAATCTGGGACATGAGCCATTCGTAGGACCTCACGCCTTCTCCTAACTTATCTTTGGACAAGTCGTAAAGTTGACACACGAAATCTAACTTCTTCGGCTTCCTGCATTGTTCGATGAAGTGTGCACGGATCGAAGCTCGCATCTCATCAGATGGAGGTCGGACGCCGCAGAGCTGCTGGTAAACGCCTGTCCATTCATCATAGAAATGAGATAAGTCAGCATCTGGCTTACTGGGGTCAATAACTACCTTGAAGATATCACGCGAAATGCGATGTTGACCCAACTCCGATCTGTCGGAACACCAATGACAAATGGCTCGTATCATCTCGCGCCCCGTTAAGAGCCTCTCCTCATTCTGGGCGCCATACTCCATTCGACTGATCTGTTGAAGGAAGTGCATGTGATGATTGGACAGATTACGATTCCTACGCATCTTGGTGAACTTATCAATCAAATTTGCTGCGATCATGATGTCAAGACGCCTGAAGCGACCTGGGTGTCTGAGCTGTTCGTTTTCTACAGCAGGGGCCATAGTTTCCATGATCCAACGCTGTGCTGCTTGAATCTCAGGAGATGATCCAGCAATAGCTCGGACTGCATGCATCTGCCACTCCCGTATGTTTGTAACATCAGGAATGTCCATCAGATCAACCTTCTGATTGTTTCCAACCTGTCTCCACTGGTCCAAAGGGGTACTCTCATCAAGGCCTCCCGGGTCATGTGGCCCTCCTGGGCCCTGAGGTCCGCCGCGACCACCTCCACCGCCTGGGGATCCAGGCCCCCCCGGGCCCCCCTGGGGGCGGCTTCTCTGGCCGGTCGCGGATGGCATCATTAAGTGCCGACAGAATCTCAGTACTCGGTGCGATACTACTGTCATCCCCATCCTTGTCCTGTCCTTCCCCGCCCGGCGGCGTTGCCGCTGGCGCATGGTCTTGATTTCCGCCAGACGGCTGGGCCGCCGGCGGTCTCACAGGCCCGCCCTTAGAGAATGAATGATAGTTGACAAAAGTCGCGTCGTCACTGACACCTGTGAAATTCATATTGATAGGCAAACGATTCTCGGAGGCACTCGGCTTGGCCGGACCTTCGATTGCAGGGCCAGGAACAGTACAATTGGATCGCCTGACGAGCCTTACAGGCGTTTCATGTGAAAGCAAAGGTATATCAAATGAACTAGAATTGGGCAATGCATCCTGCTCCTTCTCCCAATATGGGAAGGACTTGGTGGTGATGGCCTTGAGCTTCATCACTTCTCTCTCCGATGCAACTTCGCGGGCCGGGGCCTCACCCTTCTCCCGCATGTTGACAGCTGCCCGTCTGAGCCCAGTCTAATCTGCTTATCAGCTTGCTCCTTCATTCGCTGAACATTGAGTTTATCAGCGCTGCATTCGTCCAGAAGCTTTTGCTGTTGAGCTCGAAAGTCACGATCAGCGCTGCGTTTTCGCCGCTGCTCGCCCCGCTTCTCCTGTTCTGCTGGCAAACTCTTCATTTGAGTGCATGTAGAACACCGCCTGGTGCTCGCATTGAACTGGTCTTTGCAGCTTGGCAGTCCACAAGCGGCGCATTCCCCTTCTTTCGGGTTGAAGCAAATCGAGCAACTTTCTCCATCATCCCATCTCGCGGGCTATGGCTGCGGCGCAGCCCTTACTTTCAGCATCGGCGGCATCGCGCCCCCCATGGTCGTCAAGCCAGACTGGGCCTGCGAAGACGCTGCGCCGGACGGCTGGGCCGCTGGCGACGGTCGTCTACTCGCCCCAGCCGGCTTGGCCGGTGGGCACGCATCTTCGCTTAACTGCATGCGCTGAAGAGATGCCCTGGCGTTCTCATGTAACTTGAGCTCTTCGCGATATTGATTATTATGATCGACTATCGTCGCAGCTACAATCTGGGCATTGCCCACTTCCAACCTGGCAGTTTGCAGTTGATCTTGGAGCTCCTTTTTTTCTTGTTCTGCCTGGCTGTAGCGACCCTCTTTCCTTTTATTCTCGCCGCCGCAACAGCGGCGGATGCGATCGCGGCATCAACAGGTTGACTGGTCACCGTCGCAACGGTCTGTCGTTCGGAGGCTATCATCTCAGCATATATGTTCTTGGCTTCTTCTTCCGCGCGCTGTTTGGCAGCCGCGGTCTGATGGGGCATGTGCCCCGCCAGCTCTTGTTCCCGATCTCTGGCAGCTCAAGCCAGAGCGAGTCTTTCAGCCTCGAACGTCTTCCGAACGCCCTCAGGGACTGCACTCATCTCTTCTCGGTCCAGTCGGGCCTTCTCGGTCCTCTGGGCTTCACGGCCCAGGAATTATTGCCGAGTTTTGGCCTCAACAAACTTAGCCTGGTCCTGTGAATGAAAAGGTACGGGCAACTATGCTCTTCCATCGGAATGCAATCCTCACGCAACCACTGATTGCTACAATTGGGGCACACGTCTGAGCAATTCCTACATACTGGGCGCCTACAAGCTCCATTCGGTCTGCGGGCTTTCCCCGGGCATCTGTTCTCCGCCTGGGGCGGGCAGTTGGAGCCCCAGTTCCAGCATGTCTCGCGCATGGATATAGTACTGTTGCTCCTCGAAACGGATCGAGCTCCAGATCTTGGCATCTTGGGCCTTCCTCTGCTCGAAGCATTCGATCTGGGACGTGCGTGCGTACTCTCTGGCGGTCTAGCCGCCTCTCGAAGCTCCTCATCCCTTTCATCTTTTCTAATCAACTCATTCAGCGAAGCCGGGGGGGTGATCATTCCATCGTCCTCAACTACAACGGGTATCGACGGTTGCCAATCGCCTGCGGCGACGGCAGTCCGATGGAATCCTTCCTGAAGCGGGGAATCGTTCAAGTCATAAGATTCATTCCTTTGCTTCTTGAGTTGGGATCTCCCGGCCATGCTTCGCATGAGTCTGAAAACCCATTTCCGCCTCATCCGCCTGGGGCGGCAGGTCACTTATCTCGGTATCCGAATCTGGTTCTGCCAACGCTTTCCCAAGGGCTTCCACGTGATCGTAGTCAATTGTATCCTGCCCAGGGGACCACCTCTCGTCTTGGACGGGGTGGTCTGCGTCAGTTATCGAAGACAAATCTCGGCCCAATGATACTTGATAGTCGGCGTAACCAATGTCTTCCTCCATGGAATTTATGTCGTCTCCATCATCAAGCTGTTCATCACTATCTTGGCCGGTTTGCCCATTCAAGGCTGTAGGGATAGGATGAGTCCCGTGAGCGTTCCCCCATCCGTCTGGGACGGTGGGGCACACACCTCTGGACCCATCGGCTTCTCCCGACCCACTGGCTTGGCCAGCGGCCGGCACAATAGTCCGCATAGCAATCGGGCTGGAATGTATTGTCTCCGAAGATTCGGCAACCAATGACGAAAATGCTCCTCGTCTAATTTTTGCTGTTGTGCCGTCCCGTCTCTTCGGGTCTGGGGTCTGTTCACGATCACCGATCGGGACTCGAGAGGGAGAATCGTCTCTTGACACATCAATAACCTTTCCCCTACTCCTTCCGCGAGAGACCCGAGTGGTGATAGAAGAAACGGGAAGGCGGCCCCTCCCCGGGCCGCTCTCCTGTAGTCCTTGCCCGTCACGTTGTAAAACTTGGGATCCAACGGGCAATTCGGCTGTCTCATCATAGCTCATCCCTGTTGCGACTTGGTCGCGGGTTTCGGCCAATAACCAGTCTTTCCTCTGAGAATCGGGGTAAGATGACAAAGGAACTGAGGTATCGTGATGACTCTGCTCAATAGTAGAGGATACGGGATGAGACATCGATGAAACCACAAGTAACCGTTAAGCAACTGTACTCAGGAATGGGAAGTGAGGAGGCCAGCAGGGCGACGACACGACAACGACGAGGGAACGACCCCTCGGCGCGCGCGTGCAAGCCCGCACGTTCCTTTTCTATCCTGTGAGCGCAGACAGCTGCGGTACACTGCCGCAGAGTCAAGGTGTGGCAAGGCAGGCAGCAAGAGAGGCAAGCGCAGTAAGAGGCGGAGAGGAGCATATTTACTTGGAAGGCGGGCCGTTCCCTGAATGGATCTCTCGCTTAGCTCCAGACACATCCATCTCAAGAGTGCTCTCAACGTTCACACAAGGGCGGATGGGAGCATTTTCAAAATGGCGCTCTCGCGCTAGCGCCGTGCACACTCGCCTTAAAAGTGTTAATGGTCACGCAAGGACGGTGTTCCCCCGCAGAGAACAGCGGCAGCAGCAAGATAAGATATAAGTCCGCTGCCCGTCGTGGGGATTATCCCACGTCACACTCAAGCCGACTCAGCCCAAGCACCCGCAAAGGCCGACAGGACGCAGTTTAAAATGGTGCTCTCGCACGGGTGTCAGGTACACAGGGTGCTTGTAGCAAACATGAAACATTAGAGGGACTTATGGCGAGAGGGGGGGGCGTATGACCAGGGGGTGTATCGCAGCATCTTCGACGCATCTTGGGTTTACTGTGGTCCTCCTTCCTCGTCCTCCCCCCCCTCCTCATCCTTCCCGCGAGGTCGCACGAGCTGGCAGCGCTGGGTGGGGGGTGGGGGGGCGGGGCAGACCACGTCCTTCGCCGAGGATTCCGCGGCCTGACGGCGGCGGGACGCTTGCTGGAAGGAAGGGGGGGCGGCGAATGCCAGACAGAGCGATCAGCGCACCGCCTTGGGGAAGGCTGGAGCGCGGGCGGTGACGCCCGATGTCTGGAGCTACAGCGCTGGGATCAGGTGCCACTGCGAACGAGCTGGGCAGCGACAGCTACAGCTCGGAAGAATTTGGAAGCCTGGTGTTAGGCATGGGTTTCGTTGGCCCCGTTTAGCATCCTCGTTTGCCCTTCGGAGGTTTATCCTGTAGAAGCCTACTCCTACATCCATATATTACATGTCTTGATTTGTCCCCACGAGCCCCGACCCTTTCCTCAGGTCTGGCTTTCATCCTGAATCGATGTCTGACGGCCGGGGGGCCCGGCGAGGCCCCCCAGAGGGCGAAAACAAGGAAAAACCTCCGTCCTGATTTTACTCAGGACGTTGGATGTCTGGGCTCCTCAACCCTCACACCTCACCCTCCATGACTGGAGAAACACAAACGGCACAACCATACACTTTCGAGGCTCCGCGCAAATTTCTCGGATCGGTGCTGGACCCCCTTCCCTAGCGCGCGAAGCGCGCCACAGGAGTCGCCGGAGGGACCGCCAAGGGGGCCCAGCGCCGATCCGAGAAATCCGCGCGGAAAGACGGACATGCATGGTGATGCCACTTTTTCTTGTTCGAATTCGGCCGCGGGATGCCGCCCCGCTGAGCGCGCCCGAGTCGTGAGCAAGGACCGACCTTCCCGGCATCTCTACAGGCCTACAACGACATGTTTTTGGAACAACAGGCTGCCCCATGAACAAAGCAATGCTCTTATAACCCCAAACCGATTGATTAAAAATGCTGCCTCAGCCAGACATGTTATCTGATTACACTCCTCGCCCGTCGCCTCGAGAGGTTGCACAATCTATGCTTGCAACTGAGCAGGGGAGGCGGGTCGGGCAAACGATGCCTCAGTCTCTATGCCCTAGACTTTTCCTAGACGAGGGCCATGAAAACTGCTTCCGCTGCTTCGTTTTCCAGTAAAGATGCTTTGGCTGATGTGTTGTGCGTTTTGGCCATGTCAACGTTTTGGTGCCCCTGTCCGGCGGGCCCCCCAGGGCGATTCCTGACTGGGCCTGGGCGGGGGCGACGCCCTGAGAAAAGAAGCATGAATGCCCTGCGATCGTCGCCCGCGGATCTTCCTACCATGCTCCACCCACTGAAGCGCGGGCGGAGTCTGCGCCGAGGGCAGGCGGAACGAAACATGGAGGGGCAGGGCCAAGGTTGACTCCCCCTCGAGAAATTGGCCACTGTACTTTGTTATGTCCTGCCTGGTGCAAAACACAGCGTGTGATTAGAACATGAGTTGGTGTGCTTATCCGCCACCGTGCGAGGCACGAGTTGGAGTGTCCTCAGGTCCTTCGCCTCATCCCTTAAGCCTGAATCCCCGATCCTTGAAAATTCTTTCAAGCGCCCATGCCCCACATTGTCCAAATCTCCTGGGGCGCGCCACGTGGCCCTTGGGACTCCCTGCGGTTTCTCGCGTAACTCTTGCGGACCGAAGAGGGCCCCAAGACGGAGGAGGCTGCCCAGACGGTCCAAGAGGGCCCCAAATCAACGCACGACCTGTCCAACACGCTCTACATGGCCCCAAGGCGGCCCAAGAAGGCTTCGAGGCGCCCCAAGAGCCCCGAAAGTTTTCCAAGAGGGTCCCAAGAGGCAATTCATGGATCCCCCGTACAATGTGTAATGATTTTCCCATCCATCCTGTGGTGTTCGGTGCTCGTTTTGAAGAGACAGCGCCCCGCGTCACACCTCCTCCCGCTGCCCCCTCCCTCCTCCCCCTCCTCCCTCCTCCCGTCCGCCTCGGCATTGCCATCGTCATCGTCATCATCGTCATCATCATCATCGCCGTCATCATGATACACATCAGCATGATCATCACCATCGCCATCGTCAGCGCCGCGCCCTTCACACGGTTCGTGGCACCATAGGGAGCTCCACCGAAGGCCAAAGTGGCAGCGGTTGCATGCGTCACGGCCGCCCCATGCTGGCACATCCCTCACACGGTTCGTGGCCCCATAGGGAGCTCCACCGAAGGCCCCAGCAAGAGCGTCCGCATGGCACCACCGCTTCATTTCGGCACACCCCTCACACGGATCCTGGCCCCATAGAGAGCTCCACCGAAGGCCCCAGCGGGAGCGTCCGCATGGCACCGCCGCTTCATTTTTTCACACCCCTCACACGGATCCTGGCCCCATGAGGAGCCCACCGAAGGCCCCAGCGGGAGAGTCCGCATGGCACCGCCGCCCCATTGAGGCACACACCTCATACAATTTGTAACTAAAACTCCACCAACAACTCCAGCGGGAGCGTCCACCTAACACCGCCAAACCATTTTGGAACACCCCTCACACGGTTCGTGGCCCCATAGGGAGCTCCACCGAAGGCCCCCGCGGGAGAGTCCGCCTTGCACCGCCGTCACATCTGGCACACCCTTTACGCGGTTCGTGGCCCCATAGGGAGCTGGCCCCAGCGGGAACGTCCGCATGGCACCGCCGCACCATTTTGGCACACCCCTCACACGGGTCGTGGCTTCATAAGGAGCTCCACCGAAGCGGGAGCGTCCGCACGGCACTGCCGCCCAATTTTGGCACATCCCTCACATGGTTCGTGGCCCCATAGGGAGCTCCACCGAAGGCCCCAGCAAGAGCGTCCGCATGGCACCACCGCTTCATTTCGGCACACCCCTCACACGGGTCGCGGCCCCATAGGGAGCTCCACCGAAGGCTCCTGTGGGAAAGTTCGCATGGCACCGCCGCCCCATTTCGGCACACCCCTCACACGGTTCGTGGCCCCACAGGGGGAGCTCCACGGAAGACCCCACTGTCGGCGTCCGCAGGAGTCCTCCCGACTCATCTAGACGCACCCTTCACACGTCTCATGGCAGAAGGCTATACAGCGTACGCTACTCGGAGTTTGCGCGCCCCCCTCCCTCGTCTCATCTCCCTCGCGGCACTCGCAGCTGCATATGGCTGGGTCCTTCGTCAGGCTAATTGGGGTCCTCGCCTTTTCGAGCTTCCTACGCTCCAGAACTGCCTAAGAGGTCCCCAAGACCGCCCCAAGACTGCCCAAGAGGCCCGCAAGAAGGCCCCCAAACGGCCGCAGACGTGCCAGCGTGCCGTGGCAGCGTGCCCGGCTTTATATTTTTCTTGTAGCGGCCAAGACTCTGGCATCTTGCTGCTTTGCATATCGTGTGTTTGTGCGCTCTTTCTGCTGCTCCTGACGGTGCTGGCAAATGTCGTTCTGGCTCTCGACTTGCGGGACGTGGTCTTCGTGCTGTTGCGCCTGGTGATCCTGAACATCGCCTTGGAGGGCCTGGTGCTCGGCTTCTCGCCAGGCCTTCTCCTGCGGGCATCCCTGATCAGATCAGCGCCAAGGGTCTTCCTGCTAAAGCTGGCGCTGGTCCTCTGGGGCCTCGCTAGGGCAAGGGCAACCAAGGGAAGGATATAGCCAACCCGTTGGTTGTGGACGCCCAGCCGGCTGCACTTCGAAATCTTCATGCTCAAATGTTCCCTGGTGTTGCCGATGTCGCTCGACTTGCTCTCGAAACTCTTTGTGCAGAGCGGTTGGGTCTTGAAAGCCGTGGTCATGGAGGTGATATTTGGGATGACGGCGCCGACCTCCAGAGCAAGGGCAAGAACAAGAGAAAGGGGATCGCCCCGATGCAATCGCGCGAAGCATTGCCACAGCAGCGAAACTGCTGCTGTTCCTCCACGTGCCGTTCTGCGTGATCTAGGCGCCGTTCGTGCTGCTCGGCTCGCCTGACTTGATCCCCCCCTTTGTTCATCTACCTGTCCAGGGCACGGGCCAGGGGCCAGGGTAAGTACATGGGTGGGTCCTGTGAGTGCAAGGCTGCACGCGCAGTCCTCCTCCAACCTGCTGTCCTCCAGCACGTTCCGTGGCGATTCCAAAGCCCCTGGGGGTCCTCCCAGAGCCTCACAGTCCAATCCCGCGGTGAATGGATTCCCGCTCAGGGGCTCAAGGCGCTCATAGGCGCCCCAGGCACGCCCTGTGGCGATTCCGGATCCCTCTTTGGCGTTACGCCTCGTGCTTGCCCTTGGCGGCCTCTGGGCTGGAGCTCGCCTCATTGCCCGTCCGCCACTTGCCCTTGGTAGCCTGCAGGCTGGAGCCCCACTCCTTGGCCTTCCGCCTCTTGCCCTTGTCCATGTCTTTTCCCCTGCGCCTTCCTTCGTTCTTCGGCCGCGATCGCTGATACTGGAAAGTGGGGAGGGGAAGGGGAGGCGGCGGCGGAGCTCAAATGGGTACACGAATATGATTGCTTGGAAGCGAGACCGCTCGAAGCTAGATCTAGTGCCGAGAGTGCACTAACAGGAGCGGTGCGTTCGCACTGAGGGGGGCTTGAGCGCGCCTGCGCTGACCCAGATCGGAGATATCCCTGGGGCCAGGCCGCAACAAAACCGTCGGGGCTACTGACACAGAGCAGCGACTGTATAAGCTGAACAAAAACGCTTCCAAGACTGAGGCGATGTTTAAAGAAACCGAGGTCCCCTGTCCCAGAGCGGCCTCCCGACGCGCCCAGAGAGGACCCTGGGCACCGTAGACGGCGAAGATCTTCCGCGTCGGATACCCATGGCAGGAGGGACCCTGAAGATTGTGTTTTTTGTTGTTGTTGTTGATAATTTCTGGTAACGGTCGTTTTCTGGCAGGGGGTGGGTGGGATTGGGGCCTCGGGAAGCAATATCGCTCGGGCGGGGCGGGGCACGTTGGGGCGGGGGTGCGCTCCGATCGCCATTCAGCATGTGGGAAGGGGGTCCAAGCATGGCCCCCCTACGTACGCTCGTTACGTTTCCCGGGGGAGGGGAAGGGGGTGTATCCAAGTAACGACCGTTACGCTCCAGAGGGTGAAAGAACAATCTCCCTGAGAACCGAGGTCGCGAAACAAACTGCAACATCGCTAAAAATCCCGAACCGAATCCTTGGCCTCATCTCCATGCGGCATTTCTCGACCCGGATCGATCCGTAAAAGCCCTGGGGCACGAAGCTTGGCGAAGACATCCATTGTATAACAGATTGCCGACACTGTCGGCGTATGAGAAGAGGATTCCTGTGGTTGTCGACACAAGGGGGTGCTGGGAGACGCTTTTCCATTCGAAGCTCTTCCTCCCCTTCTGTGCAGACACCTGGGTCTCTCCAAAATCTCCAACCCGAGGTCAACCGACAGAGGTCGCAATCGAGTCGAAGGAGAGTCCCTTCCTCCTTTTGATCGATTCCCCGCCAGGGGTGAGGGTCCCCGCGGCTGGTCCCCGCGGTTGGTCCTGGGGGGTGGTGGGGGGGTGCCCCGTAAGGGAGGGGGGTGCTGAGTACCCCCCTCCCTGCAATGACTCGGAACCTCGGCCAACTTCGGCGCTTCTGGGGGTCTCTCGGCCCGTCTTGGAGACCCTGGGAGCCAACCCTAGAGGCCCGAATCGTCAGAACCCTGGATGTTCTTATGAAATTCTACGTGTCTCGCCACATCGATCGCCAAAACCCAAGGCGGCCCAAGAAGCCTCCCGAGACTGGTCCAAGATGGCCAATAAGGCCCCCACGACGGCACCAGAAGTGGCCAGAAAAGCGCGCTACCGCCGCGCCGCTGGAAGCCATCCCACACGAGATCTCCCAAAGGGCCCGCAAACTGGACCCAAGAGGTCCCAGGACGCGCCCAAGTGGCCCGCAAAGGCCTCAAGGATCCCCCCCAACAGATCCTACAAGCCCCCTAAAGCGTTTGGAAGACGCCCCAAGAGCAACGGCGGGATGGGCCGACGGCCACTCGATTTTCGCCCTTTCGCTAATGCCGCCACTGCGACGTGCCTTCGTCCTCACTGCCTCTTTCGTTTGAGTTGTTCTTGTCTCAAGGGTCCCGAACACAGCCGTAAGGCTTGTGCGGTAAGATCAAACAAGTCGACATACCACACGTTATAAACATGTGCTTCCATGCTGCCAAGCAAGACGGGAGCACGACACTGGCCAGCCTGCCAGCTTTTGTAGCGTTCCCAGCTTGCCTGACAGCGCGAAAGACGGACAAACAGAGAGGCTCGTGGGGAGGCGGGGAACCCGCCATCCCCAGCAGAGCGCCATGCCGAGCCTGACAACAAACCGTGGCACGGGCAACACATATCATTAACGTGCGGCTTGCGGATTTCGCAAGACCAGGGAGCGAAGGGCCGAGAGGGAAGGTCAGGAAGAGACCCTCTCTGGGAGAGAAACATCGAAACATACATCACTGATAGATCGGCGGCATGCCCTCGATAGCGAAACCGCACGTTCCTAGGCCGGGTGGGCTGTCGGGCCACGATCGGCGATCCATGAGCGACTGGCGGCCGATGCCTCCCCCCTATGATCTGACCCCCCTCTGAAACTGCACCCGAAGCCCCCCCCCCCACCCCCCCTGGGCCGCCTTCGCCACCAACGCGGGTGGCAGAACCTGGGCGGGCCCGCGGCGCACGCGCGCCCTCTGAGGGAATGGAGGGGCGGCAGGAGGGGCAGCAGCAGAGGGGGGAAGACCTAAACTCGAGGATCGAAGTCCGAGGATCGCAGTTTTTTTGTCTCTCTCTCTCTCTATCTTTCTCTGTCTCTCGCTCCCAGTCTATTGTTTCCTCCATGTGCCTGTAAGCGCACATAAATGCACATGTGCAAATAGATGCATATATGAATGGGCGACGTGTGGGAATTGAAATTATTGATATTGTCACCCCGTGCGAATGAGTGCGATTTATATACAGGTGTGAAGTTCGAGGCCATGTGCGTACATGCTACACGTTAACACTGTTCTTTTGTCCGAGTGCTCACCCAACTGGCCCAATTCGAGAGGTCCCCAGGCTCACGCACCTGCTGTTTGACCATCGGACCCCGAAGGTGTCCGACAGGTGGGGATCGGGTTGGCAGAGAGAGGGCCCCCATCAAGCCAGAGCCAGCTGAGGCGGATCGCGAAGAAGGCCCAAACCAGCACCCGCCCACACGGGACAAACCTCGTTCTACGTCGCAAAACGAAGAGACCGGAGGCGGAGGCGGAGCAGTCGAAGACGCAATTCTGATTTTTTGAATCAGCAATCAGAACCTCCGACAGACACAACTGGCAAGGCTCCTGCCCGCTGTCGAGGCGTACTCATTCCGGCCGCTCCCCTCAGCGAATCCCGAAGGCAATACGCACAAGAAGAAGTGGCTTGGTTCAATCTGAGCCACAACCACCAAAACAACACAGACTTGCACACGAATAACCCATCCACCCCCAACTGAAGTTGATCGCGCTGCTCGTCCTGTTAGCCATGAAATGGCACGCTGTCCTCTACGCACGCGGCTCCTTGCCGCCCCCCATGTTGATTACCTGTACGCCTCTCGGCGCCCTCCCCGGCTTGAGCTGGAAGCCCACAAAACTGGGGGCCCAACTCGCGCAGAATGGAATATAACGCTGCGTGAACCTCTATCACATTGCCTTTCGTCTGCTGGACCTCTGGGAGCTCGGACGGAGTCTTCTTCGGACCGCCCGTGTTTCTGCCGTTCCTCTGTCCTCGTCCACGGCCTTTCTCTTTTTCGCGATCTCCCACGGTGCTTCCGGGACGGCCACGAGCGCCTTTGCCCCTCGGTTGTCTTAGGGCCCATCGCCTGGCCTTCCGCCTGGAACGCGACGCGGTAAACCTCGCTGTCGCGCGACGGAGAATCCGCGCCATCCTTGTTCCGCACCCCTGCCGCCCCCATGCCATTGTCGTGACGTTTCGCGATAATCAAAGGCTAATCAAAGACTTGCGCTGCGACGTGCTCACTTTAAGCCAGTTAGTTCTCTAAGACGCGCAAAAACACCCCGCAACGGAATTACTTTGGCGGCCCTCGCAGCCGGGCGCTGCCCTCTGCCCTGACCGTTTCGAAAAGATCTGCGCGTGCCTTCGGCTCCGCCTGCGCGGCGCCCGCGGACTTGTCTCTGGACGCCGCAAGTTGCGCGTGGTACTCGAGCGTTCGCACTGGCCTCGGGTAACTTGAGGATGCGATGAGAGACTGAATCGGCCAGGTCGGCGTTCGCCTTGGGCATGGCGCCCCTGCCCTCGATGGCCCCGCTCCCGTTTCCCGCCCGCGGGCGGAACCAGCCGCGACGCACCTGGGCCTGGAGCGAACGCGAGGCGCGGATTGCTTCCCTTCATGGATCCTGAACACACCCAGTAAATGCTCGCCCAAAACACGGCCGCGGAAACTTTCCACACCATCGGCCCCGCACTGACCCGTCGGACACGAGCTGCTGCACTGGACTACGGCGCCGTCGTTGAGCACCACCCGCCCCCCTCCCAACCTGGCCCCGGCGCAGCACATTTGAAGGGCCATCCTGGCTCGCTGACGTTAGCCTGTTGCATGTGCTCGTCGATGTGCGCGTTGACATTGGAGTTTGAACACCGCGCGCCAAAATTGGGGACGCCCGCGCATCCCCCTGGAGCTGCCCAAACCAGGCCCCCGACCCGCGAGGCTCCTAGAGACGGCGCCTAGAAACTAAAACCGAATCTCCTGGCCAGCTCAGACAAAGTTCCAGCCGCTCTAACCGGCGCCCCCCCCTTGTCGACACTTGTGCAGACTCCATGCGCGGCGCGCAACACTCCGGCAGCGCGCGCGCTTCCCCATGCATCGCCACTGAGAACGCGCAACGCTGCGGAGCAAGACGCGATCGCGCCCAAACAGCACGCAATCAAATCATGGGCCCCCAGTCAGAAGCGACTGAGACTCGAAGCGCGGCTCCACGGCGTGCGACGACGACGACGACGAAGACGACTACCTGATCGGGGCGCAGGCGGTGGACTCCGACGACGAGCCCACGCCGCGGCTTGTCTTCGCGGAGCTGGCGAAACAGCAGAAGGCCCTGCAGCGCGCGGCCACCGACCTGGCAGGTGCTATCCGGAGCTCGCCGCGAGGGCCTCCGTTGGGCACCCAGACGTCGCGGCCACGTTCGAGCGGTTCGGATCGAGCCTCGGAAGCGGGGCCGCCCAGCCCCGAGGTGGGCCGTCCAGCCGGCGGGGGCGAGGACCAGCCCGCGCCATCACAGATCGACGATTTCATTGCGAAGCTGCACGAGCACGAGGCGACGGTGAGGCAGGACTCGAACCGCGCGACGATCGGGTCGGATTCGCGACCGAGCTCTCTCGACAACGCAGGACCCCGGGAGCAAGTCGGCCCGCGGGGCGAAGAGCTGCACGACCGCATCCAGCTGTTGAGGGACGAGAGCCGCACCCCTCGCGATGGACTTCTGGCTGCCCTCGAGAACTCAAGCCTGCAAGGACGGCCCCCCCGCCCGGGGGATCAAGGCGAGGGTCGCGCCCGCGGTCCTGCGCAAGCTCTACCGCTCAGGCCGCGCGGCCGTTTGTGGAGCTGGGCGAGTGGTTGAGGTCCGAGGAGCTTCAGCGGGAGAGCGTCAGCAGCGAGGTGACGATGCTGACGATGGAACTCGACCGCGCAATGGCGGAGGGGGCCCGCGACCAGCTCGTCAAAAGTCCCGCGGCTGAGCTCGCGTGCCTCAGGCTGTGCGCCATGTGAAAAGCTTGCGAGGACGTGAAGTGCTTGATTGACTGGGGCAGCAGAGCGGGGCCAAGCGGCGGTCCAAGGTCGACTGGGCGCTAGCCGCCGAGTACCTGAAGGTGGACGCGGATCACGAGGTCACCAATTAGAGGGCCGACGGCGAGGTGACATGGAGGCCGAAGAGGAGGGCGACCATCGCGGAGCACTTGCAGAGCGCCATGGACGGGAGCGCGGCCGGCGCAGGGCACGAATAGGCGACGACCAGGGGCCCCGCGGCAAGTCCCGGCCAAGCGCGCGCTCAAGGCGTAGCGCTGGTGGTGAAGGCTGATTTTTGGGTGCATCGCTGCCTTTCAGTCTCCAGGGAGGTCGCGATCGTTCGAGGGCGCGGGCTGGTGCATGGCCACGATCCCGCGGGTCTTCCACTCCGGGGGGGGGCCGACTTCTCCTGGCCGGAGCGCGACATCGTCGAGCACGGCCTAGACTACAACGACACTTTTTCCTGTGTCGAGGTGCAGGGCACCGGGTGGTTCCCCGTCCTGGTGATGATGGGCGAGCGGGAGCGCGGTCCTTCGCGAACGCTACCCCTGCTGCCCCACCCGCTGTCTGCCCGGCCTTCGTCCGCGGGCTTGGGCGAGAAGCAGCTGCAGCAGATGCTCGCAAGAGTTCAATGGGCGACGGAGGCCACTCATGGCTTGGTAGCGGGGCACACGAGGCAGGAGACGCTGATCCTGGCAAGGGCGAGGGGCTGGCGGGAGCGGAAGACTGCGCCCCCCTTGCAGACGGTCATCACCAACGATTCTTGGCACAGGCACGCCATGTCGGGGTGCTGGGGGGCCATCGATCGACGATGGCCGGGCGGTGATCTGCCGCCTGGGTGGAGAGGGAGCGTTGGCTCACCTAAAGGTGAGGCTACCAGCGCAAAGAGCCTGGCCAAGGGGGACATGCGCCCGCTGGTCGCGGAGCAGGTCTCGTTGTCGCCTCCAAGCACGAAAGGACTAAAAATCAAGACGCCCCCGCAGACGGCGGGGGTCCACCTCCAGGACTGAGCGAACGAGATGATCAGGGAGGTGGGCCAGGTCGACTGGGAGCGCCGCGCGATCGCCAAGAGCAACGCCGACCCGGGCTGGCGGCGGACGGACAACAGACTCGAGCTCGCGCTGCGAATGCTTCGCTCGGGCACGATTGGCAGCGCCAAGAACGTCCGCGAGCGCGCCGGGGATTTCACCGTCATCAAGAACATGCACTCGATAAGCACAATCGCGGAGAAGAGTCGGCTAGTCTTGGACCGCACGCGCGTGAACCTGCCGTTCAAGGACCCACCGCGGGCGCCTCTTGGCAGCCCCGCGCCCCTTGGTGGAGCTGGACAAGTCACTCCTACAGGGGCGGCGGCTCTTCTCCTTCCAGGGCGACGTCCCCGACCGGTTATACCTGCTACGGCGGCCGCGATGCTTGGTGGGATATGTTGCACTGCCCGAAAGCGACGCCGCTGCGCATCTACGGGTGCGCCATCTCGCTCGGGGTCGCTATGCCGAAGCCCAAGCCCGACGATGCTGGACTTAGGGCCATGCCCCCCCTGATGGGGTCAAGCTGGGCGGTCGTCTTGGCGCGCAGCTGTCTGCCGGGCGCCATCGAGAGCTTGGAGGGCATCAAAGCGCAGATCATCTACGGGAGACCGACCCCATCCTTCGGGCAGGTTCAATTGCTACTGATGTACATCGACGTCTACATCGGGCTGAAGCTGCGCGACGAGACAGGGGACGAGATGACCATCGACAGGGACACGGTGAAGGAGCACCTCGAGAGGCAGGGGCCGCCATGCACAAGGAGGACAGGGGCGAAGACCTAGCGAGGGGCCTGGGCCCGCGCATTGGCCCGAGGCCTTGCCGCCTTCGAGTGGCCCAAGAAAAAAGGCAGACATGGTGCTCGCGACCGAGG